GGGCGGTTTCATTGATAGCTCTCATCCCAAAGAATGCGGAGATTGAGCGACCAATAGCCTTGGTGGCCACAGTGTACAGGTTGTGGTGCCGACTTCGCTCCCCCTACACCAGGCAATGGCAGTTGGACATCCAACATGAGTATTTCTGGGAGCGAGCCATGCCAGGCACCGAATGCCTCCAAGTTGCCCTAAAGAGAGCGTACATGACAGAACACCACAACGCCATGCAAAAGACGGTGGTTTCAGTGTTGATGGACATGTCCAATTTCTATGACCGCATCAACCTGGAGAAATTGGGCACAAGATGGTTGGATTCTGACTACCCACCAGTGCATGCAGCCCTGGCCCTACAAGTCTACGCAGGTGGACGCATTCTGGAAGCAGAAGGAGAGGCATCCAAACAGATCTGGGCTCAGAATGGAATTCTTGCTGGTGATCCTCAGGCTCCTCTGGCGGCAAAGATATACCTGCAGCCGGCACTCAAGCAGTTCCACAAGAAGTTTCCTCAGCTGCATACAGATCTATGGATCGATGACTTGTCCTTCGATGTGGTAGACCGGAACCCGCAAAATGCAGTGCGGGTGGCCATCGCGGCTTACAACCACATCACTCAGCTGCTGCAAGAAGATGATTTGGTGATTTCGGCCAAGAAGACTGGATTTGTGGTCAGCAATGCAAAAGCCAAGGCCCTCTTGCAGCAACAACTTCCCCCTGCGGGACCGGGTGTCCATGATGTGATGAGGGATCTAGGCATTGACTGCACGGCAGGGAGATTGAGGAGGATCCAAACCATGAAACAAAGACGGTTGAAGGCATGCAGAAAAACGAAGAAGTTGCAGGTCCTCAAGATTCCTTTACGCTCCATTCGCCTCAAACTCTACAAGGGCAGCATTGTGGCTGGAATCAGTTGGGGTCATGAGAGCATGGGATTGGCTCCACAGGTGCGCAAAAGGCTGAGGGCAACAATGGGCCGGCAAATGGGTCTGCAAAGGACCGGAAATTTAGACATCCTCTTCGATATGCTCAAGAGGCACCAAGATCCGGACTATGGAGCCTTCATCGACCAGATCAAGTCCTTCCACAAGTTCTATGGTGCCTGGCCGGAACATCTTGGGAAAGATTTGGAGAAGGCTTGGCAAGTCCATGCAGCCAGGCTTCAACAGGCCAAATATCCCTGGCAGGTGGCAAAAGGTCCAGTTGCGGCTTTGCAATGTTACCTCCAGGAAAAAGGCTGGACAGCAGACAATCCGGGGGTCTGGACGAAACCTGGATACAATGGACAGGAGGACTTCAAGCTGGACATGAACTCATCGTGGTTGGCACTCAAAGCAGAGTTGAAACGAGCTGAAGCTGCTGACCGCCTTCATGCCATCAGTCAGCGTTCCTTCCTACATGAGATCCAGCAGCCGCTGGATTGGTTGCCATGGCACAGACAAAGCAAGCAGCTCAACCAGAGAAATGCAGTTGCGCTCATGACATGGCATCAGGGCGCTATCTTCACCAAGGTAGCAGATGGGGAACAACATTTGACGCGCCCGCACTGTGGTCAAGAGGCAACCTCTGTGCACGTCCTATGGCTTTGCAAAGAGACCAACAAAAGGTTCCCCAAGCTAGCAGCAGAAGATCTTTTCGAGTTGGAGCATGGAGTGAACTTAGAGTTCTGGTCCCATGGACTTCTCCAACTACCTGATCTTCAGGTCTCGACAGGTGGTGGTGCGGCCCAGGCATGGGGCTCTTGGTCCACCCATGATGAGTTACGGCTCAAGAGACAAGAGGTGGTGACGATAGGAATCTCCACGACCTCCAAAGATGTTCGAGTACGACATTTTGTTGTGGCCATTGTGCATCATGTCCAGCTTGGTGGTCAACTTTTCCGTCAAGGAGCAGTTATCACAGTGCTGCCGGGCCGCCAGAGTTGGGAACGTGCATGGTACTACGGAGTCCGCATGGTGGCTCACTATGTGGATTTGCAATCGCCTCTGGTGGTGCATGTGAGCTCCACAAGAGCGCATGAGGCATGGACACAATACAAGCACAAAGATGTTTTCCACGACCTGCAAAACCTCATATCGCTGGATCAGAGGGCCCGCATTCGAGTGTTGGCCATCACGGCGGACCAGCTCAAGGACATGCCCAAAACAGAGTGGTCTTTGAGAAACAGAATGGCAGATGCCAAGAAGGCAGCGCATGAAGTAGCACTTTCCATGCAACCGATCGAGCAAGAGCAGATCCTCCAGGAGCAGGACAAAAAGTACCGGCGTATAGCTCCTTTGGTGGTGAAGCGCATCCAGTTTTTGCTTGACGAGAAGACGCATTTCTTGCACACGGCAAGAGAGAGTGGCAAGCAGGCACGTCAGCAAGCCCGGGATCACAAGAGAACCCTTTTCCTGAGTCTGGTTCCTCAAACCAATCCGGAGGGACACCAGTGGGAAAACAAAGGGCGCAGCATTCAATGTAGCCAATGCAAAAAGAGAATGAACATGCACCACAAGGCGGCAGAGATCCAGAGTGCGGCTGAAGAAACATGCCCAACACCGCTCAAAGTTCCGATGATTGGTGGTGCCCCAGCAGACCCCAAAGAGGCTGGCTCCAAGACAGAGTTCCTGGCCAATATGGTCAATGGACGGCTGCCTTTCATGGGAGAACACACTTTCCACATTCACACCAACTACGTGGTGTGCACCAAGTGCCATGGCAGACAACTCAAGCATTCCTCAAAGGAAAAGCTGGAGGCCTTAGCCATGACCAAATGCTGGCATGGAGAATGGACACCTGAAGGCCAGTGGAACGGACACCATACGCATCAGATGTGGCGCACTGGCCGCAAGATCTTTTGCCAAAGATGCAAGGCGAATGCATTGGTCAAAGGCGAACAGATCGCAGCCAGCAAAGCACTGAGGTCCAAGTGTGAGAAGATCACACAACAGCAGCAGCTACCAAGCTGTTTCAGGGCCAAAAAGGCCAACTCGTAAGCACAGAAAAGGAGCGTAGAAAAAAAAAATGTACTGTTTACCGTATATCTATATGTATCTCCGTCGTCAGGACTGCGGTCGTTGGCTCCGCTTCCGGATGGCACGCATGGCACGCACGGCACGGCATGTAATGCCATGAGTGCTCGAGGTAAAGAAACTGGTGTTTCTTTTTCTTTTTGTACTTTCCAATTTATTCTGCTCGCACACAGCTTCATTCCTGAGGCTATGGCCTTATCCTCTCATTCGTCGGTGTATGCAATATGCTCTACCTTGTGGAGCTCTTTCCCGTGGAAGTGCGGAATGCAGGGGTGGGCCTGAGTCCCCTGGCGAAGTTCACTACAAGCCTTCGACAGCCCGGCTGTCTAGCTCTTTAGGGCCGCAGAATGACGCACTGACATTTATCCTCCAAGGCTTGGGTCATGAAAAAGCGAGGCAAGCCATCCAAGGCTGACAGAAATCCTCCATGCCCTTGCCATCCCGAAAGCCTACTGTAGATATTTAGAGTGTTTGCGATTTTATTCTTCTCCCCAAAGCACCACTTCTAAGGCTACAACTTTGGCTTCTGCTGCTTTGGAGGCTTTGCTCCCATGATCTTTGAGGCCAGCTCGGGTTTTGTCTCTTTGTGGTGGCTTGAGCTGTTTGTGGCTTGGAGCTTGAAGACTGCTGTGGGGCTCGTGGGGATGCACGTCAGGTCCTTGATCAAGTATGGAAGGGAATGATATGCTGTGGGGCTCGTTTGTGTCAGCTTAGACCGCCCACACACGTGGGCCACAAACGAGGCAGCTTTTCAAAGCTATGCGTGGGCTCCGGGCTGCTTTCTATCTCTGGCGGGTTTGATCACGACCACATCAGTGGTGACGAGCTTGCTCCTGCAGAGGACACTTCACAGACGACACGCATGGGAAAGCCTAGAGTCCTAGATGTGAATTGCACCACAATCCAGTGTCGAAAGCAAGGCTGAACCAACATGAACCAACATTTGTTGACCAACCTCCTGACTTGCACATCTGGATACAGCCCAAGGGTTTGTTCTCGAGGAGAGGGAAGATGCAGCTGGCACACATCAGGCGTGTGAGTCGGCAGAATCGTTGATCCTTATTCGGTACCAGCGTTTCTATGAGCATGCAGCTTGTTATCCCGACTAACACCATGCTTTTCCAGAATCAAAACAACACAATCGGAGGGAGATGAATCCTCAATTGCCATGAGGGGGAGGCGTTGGCCAGATCATGAGTCTCCAGTCACAGGGATAGATACAGAGCAATCTTGTCTTATTTTGAAGGAGGCCATCGCTATTAGGTTGGAGGCCATCACTACTAGGTTGGAGGCCATTCCTTTTCTTGTTGGACTCTTGCCGACTCATCCCAGGCCTGAACCTTACTTCTCTCCTTGTGGGTGCCAGCAAAATTCGGAGAATCTGGAAGACATTACTCTTTGATCTGACCAATTGCAAGCGTGGCTTGCAGTTTGGATCTATTCTGCTGTGGCGAAAGCAATGCTGTTTGCCCAGCTTGAACGTGGCCTAATTTGTCCCACACAGTTCTTGGCACAGGCGGGTCAAGAACAGGTCCCTTCCAGGTTGAAGATTTGTTGCTAATAATGTCAAATGACTTGTCAACGTATGTCGCAAATCGATGTTTCGCCAATGTTCTGCAAAGGGATGTGTGCGATGGTTTCCGCGTAAACCGCCTCAGTGAAAGCAGCCGCAGTTTGCGGATGCCTTTTCACTTACATTTCATGCCTGTGTGGCAACAAGACGCAATTCTTTAGCGAGACCTTTGGTCTGTTTCATTTTTAAACATATGTTTTTCCTCTGAAGGTGAATAGCTTAAATTCTCGCGTTCACAGCAGTTCAACGTGATAAATGCACTAGCTGACAAGCACCCCGTCCAAGATCATCCGGTTCCTTTTCCTCCAGGCTCGATCGTTGCGGCATGCGAAACTTTGAGGGAAACCATGTCCAAGAAGTGCATCTCACAGCTAAAGCACGAGACTCAAAGCTGCATCTCACAGCTGCATGGACTTCCACCTTTGCCTTTCTCTTTTCTTTCGCCCTTGTGCGTCGCAAACGCGCCATGGCTGACCGCCCAACGACTGAGCCCAATGAGCCGACCAACGAGCCGAGAGAGACCAGACCGAAGCCGAGACCTCCAAGACCGAGGCTGAGTGGGTGCCGAACTGAGATGAAAGGAGCAGACGGGAGTGGTTGATGGCTATCCAAGATACTCAAATTTTATCAGATGTTTTCAAAGGATTTGTAACCGGGATTATATTGAGCCAAATCAACCGACCACCCGCATTCGCTGGATTTACTGAGAGAGTGTCATCGATTCTTTTTGAGGCGAGCATTGCAAGAGATTGTGCGTATGTAAGATTTTGCTGCTGCGCACCAAATCTCCACATAGATGGTTGGTGAATAGATGATTGTTGGTCAGAAACCGGGGTGCAATGATTGGTTCCAGGGTTCTATGTATAAAATTGAATCCGGTGAGGCTTCATGCTCATTGCAGGACATGAGCATCAATCATCAGGATGATCCATATACTGTTTGTCTCTCCACCCATTGCTCCTCCAATTACATGAAGCAGCAAATCCAGTACACGCCGCACTGTGGACCGGAGCTTGCATCCACCCAAAATGTGTTTCCAGACAAAGTGTGTTCTGAGTAGTTGGGGGAGGAGGCCAAAGACGACTATGAACCCTTGTTAGTCATGCAACCTCATCTTCTGCAGCTTTCTCAGCTTGTCGAGGTCAAAGGAGTGCTGGGTACGGCCGGAGGATTTGAAGGACGCCCCGTCCTAACGCAATAATTGTGACATAGTATAGCTTGGAGATTCTGTATGACTTCCTTGGAGGAGTATCACAAGAACAATTTAGAGCCCTGGTTTGGCCTTTCCGGAAGTGTGTGTTGTTTGGACGTCCTCATGTGGTTCTTGCTCACGCAACCTTTCCTCCCCTCTTCCCTTGAGACGGGCTCGATGAAGGACCTCAGTGACGACGAAACATCAAATGAGGCCGAAGAAGTCAAAGGACTGCCCGGATGGCTTGGCCTGCAAATCGGTTGTTCAGTGTTGGAAAGTCCATAATATGAAACTACGGCCGTGGCTGGTCTGAGCATTGGCTAGGCCATGACATGAGACCTTTCATGTTCTTTGCCCGAAAAGATCCTCTTGGTCGGCCGATGCCTGTTTCATGATCCCTGAGTTTTTGCTGAAGTCTAGTATGACTTGTTAGTACACCCAGAGTGTCCAGGCCACTGTAGAAGATCGCCCTGCATCCCACGATCAGCTCCGGTCGCAGGGATAGTTCACGTTTCTGATTTCCGTCGAATTCAGACGCCTGCGGGAGGAAAGTGCGAAGCTAGGGAAACTTCAGACGCCCCAGAGGGGCGCTCAAGGAAAAGAAGTTGGATGCCCAGTGATCGTAATATAACAAGTGAGGTGACCGAAAGGGAAGACAGGGATACGCCAGGTCTGTTTTTCTTTCTATTTGTGTGAAGCTCTACGTAGTAATTACTTGAGCAACAACGCCATTTGAAGATCCTGGACTGCGATTCATGGGATTTGCAGTGTTTCACACACACCACGTCCAGTTCAGAGTGGCATTCTCTAAAGCAAGATGATATGCACTTGGATTTCGATTTCGAGCTTAGTTTGAGGAGAAAGATATTTTTGACCCCAGGACCCCAGGGTAATGTAAACTCGCGAATGCATGAACATAGACAAACTGCAAGAACGGTAGAATCACATACACAGTATAAGGTGCTGCAGCCAACATGCATGGCCCCGTACAAGAAGGTCGTCCGGAAGATTGATGTCTCGAAGGTCGTACGACCAGGGGACTGGAGATAAAGAAAGTGGCTGCTTGAGATTACTTGGATAATCACTTTTCCTGCTTCAAGCTTCTGAATTCGGATGTGGGTATGACCCTCCAAACCCCTGAAACCCACCAGTAGGTGTCCTATTGTGCCGCATCTCCATATGGCTGAAGCTTGAAAAGAACCTTGTATGAACTCCCAGGTGCTTCTGTCCTTGATCCACCGATTCACTCCATGCCAGTCCGGACACCTAGCCCTGTTGGCTCAGGAATGCATGCTCAGCTTTTGTTCGTGCGAATGTGCTTCGATACTGGATACTGGAACTGCTGCTACATTGGACATTGTGGTTTCGGTAGTTGCATTCAAGCAACCATCATTATTTAACAGCAAGGGTGGTCATTTGATCACCTTCGCGCGTGAAGTACAAGTCTTCTAGAAACCCACAATCCTATTCAATTTGAGATTGCACGACCATTGGATTCAGAAAAACGTACACCAACAGCAGACAATGGCAGATGGGTCAGACGATTCTCCAACATTTGTGGCAGAACAAAACACTCAGAAACGGTGCTTGCGGAATACCTCCTGTACCTGACTTTCTCCGCCTCTTCTCGCTTCCCCTTTTAAACCACGTGACTCCTTCCCCACGTCAGCCTTTCAGGAGAAGTTAGAGGATGCCACAGCGTTTTGAAGCCCATTGAAAACCATCATTCCACACACCTTAAGCCCACCCAAGCCTCATCATTTGACACTGAGGAGAAGAGGCGACGAAAAATGCCGGGTGTGCCTCGGCCTGGTGTATGGTTGGAAGATATTCCGGGGTGGGCAGACAACTTCTGCTTTGTCCAGGTCCATAGCATAGTCCTTTGGTCTACAAACTTGTATTACAGATCAGCCTACTAGCTCAAGTGACGCCTGGATGATGTCCAGCTTTGACCCACACCCATTGCGGGGGTATTTCAAGACAATGTCCCAAACTGGATCCTTCAAATGCTTCAAGGCTCAATGTTGATCCAAAGTCAAAGCAAGCAGGGCTTCGAAACTTCATGGCTGCTGCTGCTGCTGCTGCTGCTGCCCATGGCAGATTACGCACCTACAGCTAAGGCCAGAGTGGCCTTCAACGACCATGTGGATGAGATCGACCCAGATTTCGGCATTTTCGGATGAAAACGTCCGAAGGATGCGGAATCCATCACACCCCATATGTGATTGAGCAATAACCCATGTTGTCCCCTTTTCGCAGTCGGGCATCCCCTTTTCGCAGGCCTTTGGACGGGCATCCAGAGGATGAGGTGGATGGGCCAACACAGCAATTCTACATGGCTTTAACTCAGATTGCTTTTTGCATTCCTTAGAGCCTTAGCAGATATTGATTTGCAGGGGGTTGGATTCCAAAAATAATCTGGCACCTTTGAGGCTGCTAAATTGAAACGACTGTGTAGGCCAGCAGTGGTAGCAGTAGTGTGGCCCTTGATCGCAGTATTCTTCAAAAAAGTAGGCACAGTGGAGTAATGTCCGACTTGGATCAGTGTGGACTTCCTGGCCAAAAGCAACATCACTCATGTACCCTTGCAGGCAAGAGGTTTGGCTCTCAGGGGCATGACTTCGGGATTCAGGGCTTGGTTCTAGAGTTCCTTTGATGACTCTGGAGAGCTACCAGTCAAGAGTGGTCTTTTGTCAGTGTAAGGACTTCGCAATTAACCTGGAGGCTCTGACTGCCAAGACAGATCATCATTCTTATTGCACCTGCAAGCATGATACACGCTGAAACCCATGGAAGGTTTGCTTGAAGTACCAATTGGCAAACTGAACTGAAAAAACACATTTACTGTACCAGCATATGTGATTCGGAGCCTCCAGATTAGATTCCCAGTGACTTCGGTCCAAACCTCCTAAGCTAAGGTGCCTATCCTCCTCAACAGGCAGGGTCCAGCTACTGTGGAGACACCAGACATGTCGCAATCACTTTCATCAAACCGGCTTGCTGATCGATTATTGGTCGCTGAACGCTTTCGTTGGTGTCCCAAGCGTATTATTGCCAAATGCAGACTCTCATAGGCTAACATTGACAGCCTGGCCATCTTCCTGCCGGCTTGGGATTACTACATGGTCAAGGTCAAAGCCACTTTGGTTGGTTCAACACCACACCGAAGTCAAGTGGACACCAAGGGATTGATCACTCCTTCCAAATTCAACACCTCCATTAGACTTGAGCATGACGAGGTGGACCACAACTGTCCTGATCTTCAGGTGCCAACAAAGCCACCGCTGGCGCCACCCCCACAGCCGCCTGGCACCAACATGGCCGGGGCCCAAGGAGAAGAATGCATCGGTCCTCATGGTCATTGGATGTCAGACATGACCTAGGCACGGAATTTCTGAAAAAAGTTCTGAAACTTCAATTTCCCATGCAGTCTACGGAAGCTTCAAAAGTCACTTGTTGCAGGCCTCACTTCTTAAGTCATGCAGGATCATGAGGAGTAGGTGAGGCACGGTTGGACGGCGATCGTTGGACTCCTGAACATGACGCTCATAGAACCATCTCACAAGCGATGCCAACGAAATGATCGTTGGGGATGGGTGTCAGGTTATTGTTAGGTTCACTCATCAAACCCCCGGTTCAAAGCTGTAAAGGCTACCCATGCCCATCTTGGCAAGTGACCTCGTTCGACCATCCTTGACTCGAAAGAACCGACGGACGGGCTCAGGGAGTCGCCAAGCACGGAGCCCAAGCTTGGCGGATGCCGTGTTCTCTGAGGGAGAAGGCATTGTGCCTTCAGAATCGCTAGATAAAGATACAGGCAAAAGACAAGGTCGTCACATTTTTTGAGGTATTGCTACCCTGCCTTGGGGGTCCCAAGGGGTGACGTTGTCAGGTGATACAGAGATCAAACTACTTGAAAGTTCAAGTCATCGGAGCAATCACAACAAGGGCTGTATGGGACCTCATGACTGCATGTGATCCTGTATGGTGAAAGCCGGTGATCGGTACTGTATGGGACCACTGGTTTGATTCATTGTATGTGATTGTTTGGTTTCTAAATGACGAACCAGGTGGGGACAGGTTTACAAGGCCTCTTCCAAACAGCAGGGTTGGCCACCCTTACCAGGATTGAGTGGTCAGGAAGCGCAGAACACTGCTTGCGAGTCACTCACCCCTTGTGGTGCCCTGTCTTGCACCCTGAGCAAAAGTTTCGATACCTTTCGAATCTCTTTAGTTTAGGCTATATACAGTAACTATATACACAATGATTGACTTGAGATGACTTGAGCACCTTCCAACTATTGACGTGATCGAGTTTGTGGCATATCAACCAGTGACAATGTTTCTCGGGGACAAGCAGTGTACGTGCTTCTTTCGATTTTTCTTATCAGCTGATTGTCTACCTATCACTGGGGATGCTTTTGCGTCTGTCAATCTGAAAGTTTGCAAAGGACACATGGGGTGTGGAGGTCAAAGGAGGATATATATTCTTCTCATTCTCATCCTTTGGTCCTCTTGTATCCTGTGCAGGGCCGAACCAGGCGCTGGGTCGGGGAGACAAAAGAGATGCGCTCGGATGTCTTTAGGTTTGAGAGGTTTCAACATGCTTGGGAGCTCAGATCATCTATAGTAAGCCTTCAGCATATTCGATCCAACTGCCATTGGCTTTCACCCCCCCGAAGCGATATTTCCTCCAATCCACGAATTCCACGAAGCATGACCCGGATTCCCTGCCAGGCCGGCTGCCTGCCAGTGGGACACTCAACAAACGACAGACGACAGCGGAAGATGGATCGCTGTTTTCCCCAGGCTCATGCCCATCTCAGGTTGTTCATTGTTGGGTCTGAGGGGATGTGCCTGATCCGCGTGATCCACGACTGCAGCGATCGCCCCAGATCGTTTGCTTAAATGGCAGGCTGTTGGAGCCACAACACGATCAACGAGCAGGGTTGTAGTTGGCTTCCGATTTAGTGGCTACCAAAAAGCATTTGCCAGCATACTACTGTAGAAAGGGGGATAGCGCATTTTCCCACTGTAGAAAGGGTATACTGAGAATCACAGCGCCAGAACGAAGAATCACAGCTCCGAGTTCAGGATGCTGGAGCATATTTGACTAGACGAGTATCCAACAAGACGACGTACGAAGACAAGACGACATGTAACAGGAAACATCATAAGTTTCGACTCAGGCCACCGCAGCAGCCGCCACCAGGGGCACAGGCACCGGCACCACAGGCTCATGGGGCGTCCAGTTTTGACACAGAACGGTCAGTTCAATACTTGAGGACATTGTAACATTGTACATGCCGGTCATAAAGAAACAAGGACTAAGGTTCTGCCCCCAGAGAACCTTTGAGGGGGGGTGCTCAACTGCCGATCGAATGGCCAAATGGGACTTTGGCGTAATTCAGGCGGCTAGCTAGGCATTGGTTGACTGCCGATCGGCTAGGCATAGGGGGCGGCCAGGCAACATTGGTAATTGCGAGGCGACATTAAATGTTTACTCTAAATTCATATTTACCTGTTCAACAACGATCAGCTCAGCAAAAAACCATCCCAAGAACTGTGCAAACCCGACCCTGGCCCTGATTGGTGCGAACGGACGGTACGTCCTGGTACTGAATTTACACTATTTTATACTCACACAGCCTCACTTGTGTTCAGAGGCCCTAGTTGTGAGGTTTGGGTTGGCCTTTTCCAAGTGTGGTTTGGTGGAGGGGTCTCACCTGCCACAGCTGCCTTCTCCAGATCAGCATTCCTCCACTGCCACCGGGCCTTTCAGCAGAGGCGTTTGCTGACCGATATCAAAGTGTTTGTGTGCGTGCATATCCAAGAAGCCCTTCTAATGCACGGGCAAGGCCCGCTTGCTGTCAGACCCGCAAACAACGTGGCTTTGGGTATCCGGGATCCACCTTTGCTCCACTCTGGGCCTAATATGTTTTGGACGTGATGAGCTTCCAGAGGTGGTGATCCGCATTCATGCGGGCACCTCCTGAATCGGATGACAAGAGGTCGGCCTCCACCAGCCCTGATAGATCTCACCTTCCAGTTTTGTATATTTATTATCATTTATCCTTACCCCCAGCCAAATCATGAAAAACAACAACAGCTCCTGATCAGTGTGTCCAATTGATCATGCCGCCGCCCGTGTACTTTGATCGAGTGGACTATCCAGGATCAGTTGAAGTACCAGCGGATCTTTGGCTCCACACCACAGGCTGAACACGCCATCAGAAACGCTGAAAACACACCAGCAGACATGCTATCGCTGTGACTCGGATGTTTGGGTCCGCTTCACCAAAAAACATCGCGATCGCGTCGCTTGCATTGGATCTTCATTTATATGCGCTCCTTGGATTGGGGCACATGGCTTCACTTTTTGGGAGAAAGGAGAGGTTTTCCAGAAACAAGACTAAACGTGGCGACAGGTTAGTCTTGTCATCTTTTCTCTCCACATTTAGAGAGCACCTCTTTGTTTTTTTTTTGGCCCGCGCTTTCAGTGTTGGAACTCTGGAGCCCTGTGAGGCGGCCCAGGCCTTGAAGGAGAAGTTTGGCTTGACCGGGATCCTCGAGGCAAGTCAGTGCAGTCTTTTCTGCGGTTGGACTGAGGCGAACTAAAGTGCTAGACATAAGGCGAACTAGAGTGAGGATGAGTGATGCAGTTCCTCACAAAGAGCGTGAAAAAATGCCGCTCCCGTGCTCAGCCGTGCTCAGGTGGTTCGGATGCACGACCCGCACCTGAACACGTTGGCACTGGGGATGGATCTAACAGGCACAAAACTCAGAGCGTTTGGGCGGAGAGGAGACAACCAGCCGATGCACAAATCTGGCTGAACTCAAGTTGACGCAGATAATCTAGAGAACTATCCAAAAGATGACCCAACAGGCTCAAACGTTTGACAGCTGTGGACGCCGAATCTGCCTCTGCCAGCCTTGGGGAACATGAGCTTCCCGGATGCCTTCCACTACAACGCAGGGTCAGCCAGCCCGGTGGCAGCGGACGCGAGATGCTTCAGTTGGGGCAGATCAGATTGGTCTTCCTGGGATAAGATCGTAGTAGTGTTGCCTTGTTTGTGTTTTCGAATAGTTTGGTTCTTTGACTCCATCTTTTGCGCCTTTAATTGACAGTAAAAAGGCTTGAAGCTGGAATACTGGGGTCTTGGATCAGGGCTTCTGAGACTAGCCAGCCTTAGCGTGTTATCTACAAAGGTCACACATTTGCAGTTTCTGCCAGGACAGAGCTGCCTCCCTCTCGTCGAGAACCCGACTACACTTTGCCACAGAGCTCCTTGGGACAAAGACAGCTTG